AATAAACCACATCGCATATGTGGGGGGGGGGCGAATATCCTAAAGGGAGGGGGCGATATTCCTGGGGCATTCGCCCTCTCTGGGGGTGGCGATATTCCTAGGATATTCGTCCCCCGGGGCGGTATTCCTAGGAATATCGCCCCCTTTTGAGAGGGGGCGAATCTCCTGGGAGGGGGGACAAAAGTCCTGTGACTACGACATGGGCAAAAATCTATCTTGCCCCCCCCCAACCCCCAAATATGAGTTTGCCCCCCAAATGCCGCCCCCCCCCCCCCAATTCTGAGGCCTGGCGCCGCCACTGATTCCAAAGATCGTAGGTTCGATTCCCACCGTGGCCAGGCATATTTTTTCAAGCTTATCCGGTGTGGATATACACTCAGAGTAACAATCACAAGCATCATATTCACCTGAGCGCATTACACCAACACAAATTAACAATAGTTAAATATTGTCAATTTAAATACAATTATCATTGATGCTGTAAACTAACCAACTTCGTATGATTTTCGTGTTTTACTAAAGATTTAGGGTTAGGTATTGGGTTGGTTATGGTTAAGAGTTGAGGTCGTATTTAGCTGCAACATACACAGCCGCCATGTTGAATGAAACAAACACGCTCTGACCTCTAGTCAGGTCTAAAATTGTATATAATCTTCCGCTCGACATATCCATCTACAAAAATTCTTCAACTGTTAGATGCCCAAAAATCTCGCTCTAAATCTCAACCTGTTGGATATTAATAACTTACTGACCGAGATAACTTACAAGACCGAACGATAGCGAGGGCAATACAGCAAGACCGAGGTTGGATATTTTCCCGTACTGCCCGAACGGTTGAGGTCAGTAAGTTAAATCCTTTATGTCATCGGGAGTGTAAGATTATACAATTACTTTATGGTTTCCGTGTTTGGATGGCCTGATCCAAACACGCGGGAATGTTGCGAGAGTTAAGAAAAGCGAGCGAAATCACGAGCCGAAGGCGAGTGATTTTGCCCGCTTTTCTTAACTCGAGCAACATTCCCAAGTGTTCGGATCAGTCCATCCAAACACGGAAACCATAAAGTAATTGTTTTATAAAATAACAACAACACGGTAGTCTTCCGTGTTTGGATGGCCTGATCCAAACACGGCTTTCGACCAATCAGAATACGCGTTATATACATGTTATTTTATAAAGATAGATAGATAGATAGATAGTAACACATTATTGACGTTGAGTTCCGAGTCGAATATTCGTGGACCGCCGGAAGCTATTATCCGCCACTGATTTGTGTTTGCCGTTATTCGCAATCTTTCGGGCAAAACCCGCTCATTTTCGTAGAATACACCAACGACTAAACATTCTGCCACTTACTCGACTTTCGCTAACAAAAATGTGTTGAGAAAGTTCTTTAACCACAGCAGTTGCTGCTTTTCTTTATTTTAGGTTTATTTTTCTTCGTTTTGAATAGTTTGAAAGACTTTTAGACACTAATTCTTGCCGTTTGAAATTCGGCTCTCGTCGCAGGGCAATAAAACGGGAAAATGCTGCCTCGTCAGCAGCCAATCAAATTGCGCGATTCATCAAAACAAATGCTTGCCATATAATAATAATAAATATCAACATGTTGGATTAATATTAATACATACTATGATTTTTACCTGAATCAAAAGAGGGTTACCGTCAGTAGAGTGAAACATTTCTTTCTCATAAGCCAGTTCTCGTTCGTTTGATCTGGTTGTCCACATTTCCACTGTCTTTTGTAGTAATATCTCAGCATCATGGATTTGCCTTTCCAACTTTGAACTGGAAAACAAAATAAAATTCCCATTACAAGTTGTGGCGTATTTTGCGGGCTAAATTTGAATTTTTTTACGTCTGATGGCATTCGTTTTAGCATGAATGTTTTGAGGTGGCTCTGGGCAAGTTTTATTATTTTTTAACGACAAAATGACCGTAAAAGTCCAAAAAGACAATATATATATATATATATATATATATATATATATATATATATATATATATATATATATATATATATTTTCAAAAATTAGTTGAGCTAGAATCCATTCTCAAAAATATGTAAACAATTCCTGTTGTGGCAGAAACTAGTACATGTACAGTGACGAAGTGAAGGTAATTTTATCGATAGTTCGTTTATCTTTAACTAACGAAAATATAGCTTTGTTTTTATAACAAAATGTCACTTCATAAATTGTGTAAACTATTCTTCATTCTTCTTTGTCTTTTAAGAACGGTTTAAGGTTTTCCTCTGTATAAATAAACCGAATCTGTGCATTACTAATTCAAAAAAATTGAATAGTTTATATTCGGTCAGGAAACATTCACAGGGAAGATGGCGAAAATCCCAGGTCGTTATTTTCCCACTGAAAAATGTTGTTCACTCACCCTAGAGCATAACTTGAACTACTTTTTAACTGCAGTTAACGCTAACTACATTTTTATACAACCGACTTAACTACGTTGTTAAAGTTAACCACTATCTAACTACGAAACGGATAGTTAAAAAGTAGTTAAGAGTTTTATACAACCGGCCCCAGCAATATAGATGTATACTACAACCTACATGCACAGCTGTACCGTACAATGTACTCACCTACGAGCATGGTCATCAAACAAATCAGGTAATCTCTTACGTCTACGTTGAGGATACTTATTAAACGTTTGCTGCAATTCTTCAAGTTTGAGGACGTTTTCATTCAGTTGGTCCTGGAAAATAAAGCACCGGTAAGGTGCGGGGTCAAATACTCAAAACAAACAAAGGACGTCTGTATGACACGATGATGACATACATCATAGATGGCCATGCAAAAGAAGAGAATTGCATGGTTGTGACGGTTTAGTGGACGAAAGACACTATAATTATATAGTTATCGCAAGCTAGCACACAGTAATACCTCGTTCTCATTCATCAGTCAAGAAACTACTGGTAGTGACGAGGTTCTAAATTAAACCCTATTTAGAGAGTACAGTCCATATATATCATTGCACAAGATGCGCGCGTCAAAGGCGTATCAGGGGCGTGCCAGATCAAAAGCGTACGAAGTGATACGCGTGTGAATTGCGCATCCCTCGTACTGGTGTCCAGCACCCCTTGAACAAAACTCTGGCATTCCACATTAAGTTTAGATTTGCCGCTTTTTGAATTGTGAATACTATTTATTCTGTTGAAACAGTTGATTATTGAGTACGCGAGAAAATCTTCAAGTACCAATACGGCGGGTCGCTGTAACCATGTAACGTAGAAGTTGGTGTAGACAGTGTTATAGATTAAGCGCATTAATTTTAGCGAGGATCAATCAGTATACCGCGTATACCCCATATACCCCATATACATGACGAATCATACGAGTTATGCATCACGAATCATAAGAATTTCAAGGCTTCAAATTCCAAAGATTTTCCGGGGGAGAATGCTCCCGGAAGTGCGGAACCCCGTAGTAATGCACCCCATTCAGGAAAACCTCCACGCTCTCTAACTAATGAGGTCAGATCCGCCCCTACGCGTGAAGCTCGACAAATCTCCAATTTAAAGGTAAATACCTGGTCAAACGAGGATGAGACTTGACGATAATTGCAACTATCGCTCGTGTTTGACAGTGAACTCTTATCGATTCTCGTGCATTCTCATGCATCAACATTGCGGTGGTTGGATTCGACTGCTAAGCAGTGAACTCCCATGTAAATCCTGTTCTCGTGACAGTTGAGAAAACAATCACGCACACCCTCGCTTGGCCATTCTAGTCAATTCTCATCCTGGTTTGGCCAGAGTTTAAATTTGAAATGCTTTCTGTTTGCGAATAAATAATTTTGTCAAGATATCATTGTCACAAAAAAACTGCTTATATATCGGGGTCAAAATTTCAAAAATGCAGTGTCATATTGAAATGTTATACTAAGGTAAAATGTTATAAACTATGGATTGATAACATTTTACCTAGTATAACGTTTCCATTGTCAATTGACACTGCATTTTTAAAATTTTGACATTTAATAACTTTTTTTAAAAACCTCTTTTTTGATTGTTGTAATTAATTAGTTTGTTAAGTGTTTCAATTATTATCTTCAAATATGTAACTTGAGTTTTTCAGTCTACTATCGTGTAAACTCCCATTCAAGATATTAAAGTTCTATTCTATTTGCTGCCGAACGTGAGCGAAGCAGCACACTAGTCTTGACGTGCTATGGTCGCCCATCTGTCGCGCGATCTCTGTATTGTCGAGATCTCGATTTTGTGTCTGTCTGTATGCAAGGGTGGGTTGACTACAAAATTTTTGTAGTTCGCTATAACTACAGCTACTTCAAAAATATGTAGTCAGCTACAACTACTGCTACTTTTGAACAAAGGTAGTTCGCTACTGACTACAGCTACTGCTTAAAAAATGTAGCGAACTATTTCGCTACTCTATATTTTTTAGTTTTACGGTATTTGGAGCATCCACTAGCTCAGGCTGTAATATAACCTATAACTAGAAAATACATGCATGCAGAAACCCTCGCCTTGCTGACAAAACCATTGTATTTTCCGAACATGAAGTATCTAAAGTTGTTGTGATGGTAACACGATAATTTTTTAAGAATATTCCAATTCGTACAAATTGAAATGAAAAATCGCCTAAAAATATCACTTTTAATTACAAAATTATCAATATCCCAACATATATATGTTAGGTATGTTATTATACGTAATATAAGTTTCAATTTAAGGTAAAATTCAACCACAAACGCTTCGCAAAACGTTTTAAATTAAAGTGTTCTTTATAAAACTAAACTGCCTTTAATAATTAAATGGCTTTTAATATCGATAAACTTTGAGTTTGCAATAAAATTATTTCAATTTCTCGCATGCAAATAACTTTGCTTTTTTTTATTTAAAAAATTCATTATAATAAAAAAGGGAATCAATATTAATAATACACTGAAATTATATGCTGTCTTGTTTAGTTGTTTCATGCATATACGCAAAGCCAAAGGGCCAAAGGCCGTCGGGTTTTAAAGCAATTATAAAATCAATATTTAAAACAAACTTACCTTCGTTAACGTCGGCTCCCTTCTTTTAGCCGATTCTTTCGCCCTTTCTTTCTGAGAAAGCTTTTGAAATTTACAAAATCTTGCAAAAATGCGAGCAAAAATGAAATATTTTTGCAAGAAATTTATCAATCATCAAATCAAGTCATCAAGAAATGTTTCTATTTCGCTGTCATCATGCAATCGTTATAATGCAAACTTTAAATTGGACCAATCAGTGTCCGCTATTCATGACAGTCCGCCATATTTTTGAGATCATTGAGGATGACCACCCACCGAACCACTCACGGTAACCCACGCCCGCGCTCATTGATGAACTTTAGACTTGGCTAATGCTTTCGTTTTCCCGGGTTAGGTTTCCACGAGTAGCAACGGTAAACAAAAAGGGTCAAACATGGGTCAAAGCAACATTTTTGTAAGCCCTACAGTGTTCAGGAGTGCCACTTTTCATTGCGCTAAAATAATCTTTACTGTATAAAATAATCTTTTAAGCAAACCGTGTCTTAATATCATTCTATTCTATGAACGGTTGCTAACAATTTTAAAAAGTAGCGAATAGCGATTCGCTGTTTGAAAAGTAGTCAACTATTTGGCTACTTTTAGGCAAAATGTAGTTCGCTATAACTACAACTATTGTTTTAAAAAAGTAGTCAAAAACTACTGGCTACTTGAAAATTGTAGTTCGCTACAGTAGCGAACTACTACTACTTCGCTACTACCCACCCTTGTCTGTATGTGTGTATGTATGTATGTAAAGATGTTTGTCGCAATTTCGGGGAAATAATTAAGCTTTAGGACGTCAAACGAGGGAGGGGGGCGGGGGGGGGGGCAGTCAAACTTTATTTTGTATTGCGCACGCATATTCTTCTCAGGATTTCAGTTACAAGTTTATTTACATGCATGCAGTATGTTGGATTTTCACGGTGCAAACGATCGACAATATTTTGAATAAATCAGTTAAGAATGGCTTAATTTCTTCCCTGTGATATACATGAAGGCATTTAAATATAGATCTGCTATTTAGTGTTCGATAGAGGTGATGAAACAAAATGATTTTATGAATTTATCAGCAGTTTTAATAGCCCCACTGATCGTCTTGTGCATACAAGGAGTCAATTATCAGTTTATAGTGTTCATTCTATATGTTTATAGCAATGTGCTTTCAACACGTTTTAAAAACAAACCCGGAATGTCATTTATGCACGTCTTTAATAATTAATAACCAGGCTTAATAAGATTCCTATAGCAACTCAGTGTGGATTGCATATATTATTCAAAAACTCATTAATAATTCATGAGGAAAACACAAAGAAAAATCATAAGCGTGTCGCTATCCAAACGATAATTGGGACGAAAACTGACTTGGTATTTCTATATATGATATATACAGTATTCAGTGGCAAGCTAGCCAAGACAACTGGTCATGCTATGCTAATAAAGAATAATGTAAATAACTAAAAATTCTCATAGCATGACCTGTTGCTATGGCCAGCTTCGCCACTGACAGTATTATAATTATAATACAAAAGCAAGAAATTATAAATATTGAAGGTATTCATATAAAACCGCCCATGCCAATTAGAAAGTAGAAGTAGAATATTTAGCTGACCATCAACTTTGTGCAAGGTGTTCGACATTCAAATTGCACTTTTCCTACCTCCTGAACAGGCGCCTTAGGGGCTGTTTACATGTTGGAAGGTGGGGTGATTTTGATGTATTGAAATACATGTAAGTCACTTTAGGCTAAACGAAAGTTCAAATACTGGTTAACAGAACTCAAATGTTGTAGAGAAGATCTCGTAGTTCAAGAAGATTATTATTGCTACTTGAAAAACATTTCGTTTACAGTCAATTATAATCTATCTCTAGAAAATAATGAAGTTTTTTGCTGAATCGTGCACCTTAACTTATTTCAATACATTAAAATAATCCCGCCTCACATCTCGTCCTGGAAAAGTGGGATCATGTGAGCAGCCCTTCATTAAGCAAATTGTGCACGCTGCCTTTGATCCCTTGAGGCAGCACTTTCGTTGCGATAATAACTCCTATTCTATTCTATTCTATTCTATTTATCCACGAAAACAAACAATATTTTACCTTCAGTTTAATGGTTTCAGTGTCATCACTTGGGCATCTGGAATCCAGCAAGCTCTTTCTTGATTCAGATACAGGATCGACCACTGGTGATCTCGAGGTATCATTGTCTTCAAAACCTAAATCAAATTCCGACATACCAAATGCTGATTTTCCACTGTCGTTCATTGATATGCTCACAATGGCACTGTCATTAACCATAACATCAGCTGTTTTCTTACTTTGGGATTTCACTGTCTTATTCACGGGGACGTTACTAATGGAAGATTCCACAGTAGGCTTATGTCTGTCATTACTGAAATGCGTCTCGATCTTACCTCCTTGATTTTTCATTGGAAATGAAAACGAAAACGATGGTGCAAGGACTCGTCGGCCAGGAAACTTTATACCCTTTTCATTTGTCAAAACTGTGGAAGTGCCGTTTCCAATAGGCTTTTTTTCTACCATTTTTCGACCATTGACGTCGTTTGTGCGAAAACTATCAAATAGGTGCTGTACGGAAGGAGACAAACTCGTATTTTTAGTTTGTGAATTTAATTCGCCATTCGGTGATAGGGTTGCTCCAGTGGAACTCACGATATTATCTTTAGCGGCAATTAAAGAGTCCGCTTGAGATTGCGGGGTTGAGTTTGAAGAATGGCTTCCATTTCGTAACTCCCAAGGAGAATGGTTAACAACATCTCTCGTTTTTATACTTAATGGTGACGGCAACAAATTACGACCTTGGGTGGTATTATTATCTACAGGTATGTGTAGATTTCCTTGACCTATGTTATCAAGCTTATCTGTTTGGTCCAATGCCCAATGTTTTTGTAGCAATGTGGGTTGAGCTTTCGGCAGTTGTGTATTACTTACAGACTGTGATGAAAAATCGTATCCCTTATTGGAAGCAGCTGTTTCAGTTGGCCATGAATTGTGGAATGATGCTTGACTTAGTTGGTTGGACGAGTGCTGCCGCTGTTCCGAGACCTTTGGTTCCGAGATATCTAGTATATTTTGCGAATTCACATTGGACAATTTCTTGTTATGCTGAAAATTTCCATTGAGGGAACTCCAGGGTATAGGCTGGTCGAGCAGTGTTTGGTTGGATAAAGAATGCTCTTTTGTTTTCATCCCCTCCATATCTTGTTGAGGAAACGTATACTGTTTATGTTCGTTTGGCAACTTCGTCCTCTTGTCATCTACGTTGCGTGCAGAAGGTGTACTTTTTATTTCTCTGTTCACGTTGAGAGAGCTCTGTGGATGTTGATTTGGCATTGTTTGCTTGCTCGCTGGTAAAGGGCACTCTCTGTCTTCTATCTCTCGCGAAAACAGACGTGGCGACGGCATTCCTCCCGCGTTTAAAATAGGGTACGGAATATCCGCATAGGAGCGAGGAGAAGACGTAGTGCTTTGTGAATAAGAATTCCCTTCCGCACTTGCCAGATTATTGTTTATAGTCAGCTCTTGCAGCTCCAGTGATGCGGTGTTCACATTACTTGGTGACAACGGAAAGTAAGAATAGCTACCAGTTGTAGAGTTCTGTTGATTCAAATTATTTAACAGGTCGTATATCTGTGTGGTATCTCCGTTACCTCTATGGACGTCTTTCCCCAGAATACCTGCCACTTCCTGATCACTGGAGCTTGGTGATAAACGCCTTGTTTCGGAGACCTTCAAACTGGTGCTACGCGACAAGGATAGGAGAGAATCACCATGCGCTGGCCTGCGCGATGAATGCAACTTGCACGAACTTTGTCCAATAGTGTCACTGTACAGTGGTACGCATTCTGACGTTGCGTTAACCGTGGAGGAAAGCGGTACTTGTTCGCCATTCTCCACTCCGCTCCAACAGGAGCTTCGGGTGACACTGTCATCACGTCTACCAACAACGTTTTGCTTGTCAATCACATGTATAACTTCTTTTCCTGAACACTGTTTCAATGAATTTGGTAATTCTACCAAAGGATGAATCATGCTATTGTCGTCCCGTGACGAGTAAGCGTTCTCCTCGGGACTGATACGCGATAGGGTAGCTTTATTGACAAAACTAGCTCTTGGCAGAGGTTCGGATGCTGGTCGCATTGAAGCAGTCAAATGTGACGAGCCATTAGTGCTAGGAATCCCTGACGTATATTGTTTTGTTTTGGGAATTGTCGTTTCATCATTTGAGTGACGTTTTTGCCTGTCCTGTTGAACGGGAAAGTCATCATTATTACTTTCAATCTGTCTGAATCCAATTGTATCGCTAGCAGTTGACGACGAACGTTCAGGTTGGTACTTCATTGAGCTCGTAGATGACGGGTCGGGTGTAATTAAGTTAGTCGGTGACTCGTTATAATATTCCGACGTAGGTTTCATGCCCGGCTTCGTCTTAGTATTCCGTTCGTCGTCTGTTGAGCTCGAGCTTAGAGATTGTTTTGAGTCAGGTATTTTCTTTGCCAAGCGTTGAGACCTGCTAGGCAACACATTATCCTCTCCGGAACTTGAATCTAAAAACTCGCGGATTTTATTTGTGACACTTGATTTTACGTGTTCAGAAGTCGGAACGTTATTCTCTTCGATTAGTGGGATACCAGATTTGGCGAGAGATTTATTGCTATTCGTTCCAGTACTTTTTGCAGCCTCGAGAGCAAACGCCGGAAGTCGGCTAGTTGTTTGACATTGTGGCACGATCGGTTGTTCATTCGCGATTTCACCACATGAACTTCTCAGCGATTGAGTATCAGCAAGACTATCTTGCACGAGTGTTTGGCGTTTACTCAATATTAAACCACTCGACTTGCCCTCGCCCGCGTCCGCTGATGGGTCCGCCAATGTCATTGGATAGTTAATCAGCAATTTTAATATACTCTTAATGTTCTCAAATACTTCATCTGGATTGTAATTACCTTGAAAAGAAGATTACCATGTTGTTTCAAAGCGCTATTTTTCTTCATTTGTAAAGGCCAGATTAAAAAGTCGTAGGCAATTTTTCACTCACACGATCGGCCAGATTACACGCGTAAAAATTTCACAGTTTGCCAACACGATGCGTTCGCATTGCTTGCTTGCTCCCATGCAGTTGTTGACAAGTCTGGGACAAGTTGTTACCATCTCGTTACAAAGTTAACAGGCTCATAACAATCTGTGTCAACGAGTCTCGGGCGAGCTGTATAAAAGTCTTCTTAACTGTCCATTTTGTAGTTAAATAGTAGTAAACTCTCAAATACGTGATTCTGGTTGGTTAACTTTTGCTCTAACTGTGGTTGCATTTAACTAATTTTTATACAACTAGCCCCTGAACATGTTGTTAAGAAGGTGAATCTCGTAGTAACTTGTTAGGAACAGCCTGCATTAGTCTTGTTGGAACAACTTGTAGCAAGTCTGCTACCATCATCACCCTTGTAACACGGTGGTAACAACCTGTTCCAGACTTGTTACAACAACTGGGCTGGCGACAAGCAGCGCGAACACACCCTGATATCGGTTTGACAACAACCACGTTACAACTTGTTTGCCTATCTGTAACAGACTTGCGTGTTTTTATGTGTGTAGTCGGTCAAATTTCTAAATGCATACAAAGCAAAACTTTTGTGGGTTTCTGCCGGTCTATACGGCAAATTGGATTAAATGAAAAGGAAGTACATTTTGGCCAGATTTCTTCCAAATTTGACCCAGATCTTTCCACAAATACAAAGAAAGAAGAATGGTCTGCCCAATTCGGTGTACCCACGCAAAAATCTCACAATTTGACAACAAGATGTGTTCGCAACAGGCTTGTAGCAAGCTTGTCAACAAGTTGTGACAATATTGTTATTTTATCAAGTTGCTACAAGGTTGTCACTCACAACTTTACTCACAACTTATCAAGTTGTTGAATTGCGGGACGATAACAAGTTGTGGGAAGAACTTGTTACAAGCCTGTTAAATCAACAACCTTGTAGCAAGTTGTCCACAAGCCGTTGATAACTTGTCAACAAGTCAACACATCGTATTGACAAGTTGTTGGGACAGTATATGCATTGCTACAAGTCTGCTGTAGGTTTGTCACAACTTGTGCGTTTTTACGTTTGTACTTGACTAGCCGTGCCACATGCTGTGGCAATCAAATAACTTGTGGACGCTTTTTCTCCTATATCAGAATGGTTGTACAAGAAAAACTGAACAGTAATTCATCTTTTGAGTATTGAACTGTCTCTAGCCGTTTTTTGTTATACCTGCCCGTCAACTGAAATCCCAAAATTACGTCATTGCAAACAAAGAATATACATACCAAGAGAAGATATACTGTTGCTGTTTAATCTAAGAAGACTTGCTTTCAGTTTTTCTATCACTTGTTTCTCGTCATTATCTGAAGTCCTCTGAACTTTGGGATATTCTTTTTGCAGCAGTGGTCTACTATCTGTGGGCAAGAAAAACAGAGATTTTCATTTTCAAATTTGGAAGTTCTCAGAAGACTAGAAGAGGTAAATGGGTTCAGTATAGACATTCAAATTATAACAAAAAGGTGGATTTCTAAAATTCAATTTTTTTGAGACACTAATAAGTTACGGTTTATAATTCAATGAATTGTATTCAAAACACTTAAACTTCGTTAAACACTCAAACTACATTCAAACCTGATGTTTACCCATTCTTGGTTTGCAATTGATGTCATGGCGGCCATGCTTGAGAAAAGCTAACAAAAGAATCTCGTTATTAAAGCGATTGTATTTGGAGCGTGTTTTCCTCCAACATGGCCGCCATGTCTTTGTCTTGTAAATCTCAAGCGATTGATTGCAAACCACCACTACACCTAAAAGCCCTGTTACACGGTGCAATTTTTCATGCAAGTTGTCTCGCAATGTTTAAAAAAAGATTTTGATAATGCATTGCAGAAGATGTTACACACTGCAATGATTTTCATGCAACTCGCAACGATAGGGGACAGAGGCATGCGAAGAGACTAGGGAGAGGCGCTATTTGGCGCCAAATTTTAATTAAAGCGTGTACTAGGGTGAGCCAATAGGAACTATCCAAGCTATAAACATTGCGAGACAAGTTCCACGAAGCCATGTTAAGGCCTGATTCCACGGGCGCTTTTTCTCGGCGAAATGCGAAATATTTCGCCTGTTTCTCGTTCCCCAGGATTTAAATAAAAATTTAGAGTTAAACACCTCTCTCTCAGTTAGCAATAAGACTTCTCGGGCCGACAAAGGATCGGTGTACAATCCTCAGATGAATTCAGTTATTGAATGTATTGAGGCAAGAAATCAACCTAGAAACAATCCGCCGAGAGGGCCACGTACGAGCAATGTTTCCAAACGTAATTCCGCTATTCCCAGCCATCCTTTGCCCAAGCACTTGGTACCTTGCCCATTTCTAAGACGGAGAGGCTTTTGCCTAAAGGGTCCCTTGTGTGACTTCCAGCACAAAGATTCTCAATCGTCTAATAATCCAACCAATAATTCGTCGAATAATCCGTTCTATTGTTCGTCAAATAATCGACGAAGAGTGTCCAATAACCTACAGCGATACCCTCATAACTTGGGCTATACATCTTATCCAAATTAGCCCGCGTGCAGGCCCAAGGGAACTGATAGTGGGCCTGCAAGCAAGGCCTGGTATTTTGTAAAACGCCCCTTTTCATAACACGCCCCATTCGCGCGTCAATTGTCAAAAAAGAACCAATGACAGCAACCAAATATTAACAAACAAACTCGCATTAAAATGTTGCGGGGTTTTCTCTGCTTATTCAGAACATAAACTGATGGGTAAATGGCTGCGTTTTAACTCCAAAAAAGTCAGTAATTGCCAAATTTGCAAGTGCTCATTTTCAACTACAATCGGAACAGGCAAGTTAGGACGAATTTGAACAGAAAACCAGTCTCAAACTTCAAATCGTGAGGGAAGTCGTGCGACCACATTAGCATTTATAATGTGTACTTCTCTGTCGCCATTGTTATAAATAAATTGTCTCACTCATCAGATCGTGTGTGCAATTCTTGTTGGCGGCGGAAAGTACGAAATTTATTTCAGCTATTTCATTTGGTAAAGAACTCTACAAAAGAAAAGAGCGTTCAGAGTCCAGATCGTTTCGTTTCAAACGGCAATTTAATACCGTCTTCTGTTTCGCTCTCTCAGCGAAGCCTTGTAAATCGCAAAGTGTTTCGAATAGGCTTACATGCAACTGCATCTCAACATCAACCAAAAGATCATTTTCTTGAGTAACATATAACGTATCAAGTCTGTTTGAAATTAATGAAACTCAAGTGTATTAAAGGCTCTGTGGTAAAGGTTACTATAGTTTACCCCAGTCGTAATGTTGCTATTCCAACACCTCACGGCAAGCAATCCCCATTGGCATAACGGCAAAAACATCTCTTCCTTCAAGTAAACAATAAACAGTCTGTTCTTGTTCCATTTGTAATCGAAAAAGTTATCAATTTTCGAATTTTAAGCTTATCGAGATTTATCGAGAGCCTTTGTGATGAATCACTGACCTAATTATAGAATCCAACAGCAAACAGCCAATCAGAATGCCGCGTTCGTGGGCGAACGCGGAAAGTACAAAATACCGGGCCTTGCTTGCAGGCCCACTATCAGTTCCCTTGGGTCTGCACGCGGGCTATATCCAAATATATTACAACCTATTACTAATCATTTTCCTTTTCCTGTGAATCCAAGCCATTTCCCCCCGTTTCAACCCCCACAGTATCATCCAATGCTTCGACCATATGTATACCCACCACCTCTGTTGACATCAATATAACCCCTTTACGGCCCCCTGTCGTGTCCCCCTTAGCACCACCTACAATAACGTTTACTAGCATGCCTCTTTAGAAAAATCGTCCTGGAAAAGTGAAAAGTGAAAAGCAACATTTCAAATCAAAATAATTGTGTAAATAGAAATAATCTGATACACATTCAAACCTGTCCAAGAAATCAGGATAGTCCCTCGAGAGATACTAAGAATACGGAACGAACTCGATCTGTAAATTTTAATAATTTAATTTATGTCAATTGTACAAGGGAAAAGAAGACTTATTTTATGCCTATCAACTTTTGCCTGTTGAACACCAGATCAATAAATAGGAAAGAACTTTGTATTAATGATTATGTGTCTGAGAACGATATTGATATTCTAGCAATGACTGAGACATGGTTACGTGAGGATGATGAATTTTCTATTGCTGAAATCTGCCCAATGGGGTATCACTTTTATCACGTTACAAGGAAAAATGCACGAGGTGGAGGAGTTGGTCTCTTACTGAAGAAATATATTAAAGTCAAAAAACAATCTCAGAGAAAATTCTCTTCTTTTGAATATATTGATGTCACCTTGAACTGCCGTAATACCTGCACCAGGATGATTGTCATTTATAGACCACCTCCATCGAAGACTAATAAATTAAGCAGCTCAATATTTTTTGAAGAATTCTGCATATTTGTGGAACAGTTGATCATATTACCTGGCAATATATTAATGGCAGGAGACTTTAATTTTCATATAGATAACATTGGAGATTCAGATACTATTAAACTCAACAAGATACTGGAATCGTTTAATTTACAACAGCACGTCAGTGGGCCAACCACTGGAAAGGCCACACCTTAGACTTGATTATAACAAGGAATGAAGATAAATTAGTGACTGGTGTCAGAATACATGATCCAGTAATATCAGATCATCTTGCCACACATTGTACATTACAGTTAGAGAAACCACCATTAGAACAATCTGAAATTTATTATCGAAAATTAAACAATGTAAACATGGATAGTTTCAATGAAGATCTAAAAGTACTAGATTTAAATGACGATTATGATCTTTCAGTCCTTATTGATAAATATGAAAATACGTTGAAAGAAACATTATAGCAGCATCCTCCACAAAAACGACGAATTATAACTCTTCGTCCTTTATCACCATGGTACAATGAGGAGTTTGGTCAAGAAAAAAGAAATCGCAGGAAGCTAGAGCGCCGCTGGCGCGCATCTGGACTATGTATTGACAGACAGTTATATGTCAAACAATGTGAGACAGTGAATGCCATGATAAAGAATGCTAAGACAACATACTACTCATCGGTTATTTCCAGTAATGCACATAATCAGAAAGTGTTATTTAGTACGGTTGATAAATTACTCCATCGAAAGCCAGAAAAGCGCTATCCAACTGCGTCATCAACGACTGAACTCGTGAATAATTTGCAGATTTCTTCAGTAATAAGATTGCTATTATATGGAAAGAACTGGCCATTGATTCTTCCCACTGTAATCAGCGAAATCAAGAGGAACAATATGCACAATTCGTTAAATTCATTAACTTTCAAGAAGTCACGGAACATGAGATTGAAAATGTTATTGATAAAGTTGGTAAAAAATCTTGTGAACTTGATCCAGTTCCCGCAAAAATCTTTCAAGGTTGTCAGAAGACTCTCTTACCTATAATTACTAAGATCAGTAATAAGTCACTTCAGTCAGGTTGTATGCCTGAGAAACTAAAAGAAGCCGTGTTGAAACCAAAACTAAAGAAAGATTCGCTGGAGTACGAAGAATACACAAATTTCCGACCTATTTCAAATTTAAAATTCCTGTCTAAAGTAATTGTGAAGGTTGCTGCCGTTTAGCTTCTGGAACACTTGGCTAATAACCTCTTAGAAGAACCTTTCCAGTCGGCATATAAACGTTTTCATAGTGCAGAAACAACCCTATTAAAAGTACAAAACGATATTCTTGTAGCCATTGATAATCGTAAGTGTGTGGTGTTGCTATTACTAGATATGTCAGCAGCATTCGATACTGTTGATCACGAACTTTTACTACAACGAATGTTCAAAAGATTTGGGATAGATGGGCAAGTGTTGAAATGGTTTCAGTCCTATCTTCAGAATAGAATGCAAAGTGTAGTGATTGACGGTGTTAAATCTATCTCTAAAGACTTGCGCTGTGGAGTCCCACAAGGATCAGTTCTCGGCCCTATACTATATTTACTATACACTTAACCCCTTGGTGATATCATCAGAGGTCATGGCCTTGATTTTCACTTTTATGCAGATGACTCGCAATTATATCTCGCTTTTGAGTCAACCATTGAGGGAAAATTGGGAGCACTGGCACAAATTGAAATGTGTGTGAAAGAGATTGATTTGTGGATGGTCAAAAATAAATTGAAATTGAATGGGGACAAGACTGAACTACTAGTAATCAATGCACGAAATCGTTCATGCCCTGCTGTAGAATATATAGAAGTATCTAATTCAAGAATTCAACCAACTACTTCAGCACGAAACATTGGTGTAACTTTCGACCACCACATGTCTATGGATAAACATGTTACCAATATTTGCAAGAACTGTTTTTTACATTTGAGAAAAATAGCAAGAATAAAAGAGTACTTATCAACGTCAGATATCCAAACTTTAGTTCATGCCTTTATTACATCGAAACTGGATAATTGTAATTCTTTATTATACGGATTGCCTAAATTTCTTATTGATCGGTTACAGAATGTGCAAAACTGTGCTGCTCGACTGGTGACAGGAAGCAAAAAATACGATCATATTACTCCATTAATGAAACAATTACATTGGCTCCCCATCAGTCAACGCAACATCTATAAAATTGTTCTTGTTACGTATAAATCTTTGAATGGCTCAGCTCCACACTACATTAATAATATGCTAAAACCTTACACACCATCAGCAAATTTACGCTCCTCATCCAAAGGATTGCTTACCATACCCTCAGTAAAACTAGTGAACTATGGTGAACGATAGTTCTCATATGCTGCACCGAAACTGCCAGAGTATATTAGAAAGAGTGAGACCTTGCCTATTTTTAAAACCAGATTAAAGACACATCTTTTTAAACAGTATTATGACTAAGTTATTATTTTAACAAGATTATTAGCAATTTTATAGTATTTTATATATAGTTGTTGTTTTAATATTACCAACATACATAACATAAAGTAATTTTATATTCTTAACGAGAAGAGCATATAATTAATTTTTTAGTAATTTTATAGTATAGTAATTTTAGTAGTCAATGCATGTACTATGTTCTAACACTTAGTATATATTTTTAACACTTAATGTTAAGCGCTATTGAGCTATGGGAAATGGCGCTATATAAATGAATTATAATAATAATAATATTAAACGGTGCAATGACTCGTGCAACTTGTCTCGCAACGCCATTGCGAGACAAGTTGCATGAAATATTGCACCGTGTAACAGGGCCTTAAAATTGTTTTTCCTCATGCCAAATTTTTCGCGCGAAGCGAATTTTTCATTTGTCTTTGGTCT